AAGATCGGGAGGTGCATTCTGGGGAGCTAGCTCTACTGAATCTCAGAAGAAAGTAGGAGGTGGGTTCAGCTGCCCACACTAGTAAAGGCTGCTGACTGTCTGCTGGGATCCTACTGAGGAATGTCACATTTACAAGTAAGCAAAGGATAATAAACTTAGAATACTGTCCTAATTATTTAGTACAACTGAAGAAAATCACGGGGGTGCTTTTTGTAGAAAAAGACTGGAACTCCGCTTTAAGGAAATTCAGTCCACACCTGAAGTTTGGTAAAATATGAAAAGGTGGAATATTTTCAGCAAAACAGTAATACAAAATATGCACACATCTGGAAATGGACAAAGTCTGATGACTTGAAACAAGCTATAAATAGCTGAAAATCATTGTGGTGAATAGCAAAATGGGAAACTGATAAATTCTTCTAATGAACAAACTCATCCTTCATGTTTTTATAAAGTTAAAAGGTCATAGGGGGTGAGAAGAACAAAAAGCAATCAAAACGAAGACAACACTATTTTCCTGGCTTGTCGTGTGTCAGCAAATGTACCTTAAAACCCAAATCCAAGAAAAATAAAAAAAAATCTGCACTTGCAGTGGGTCTCCCCTTGGTGCTGTAAGGCCTCATGCACACAGTACATTTTAAAAATGCTCCTCCTCTTGGCAGCAGAATGTTGGCAGAAAAAATGCCTGACGTTTGTAAAAGTGTGTAATGCTTTAACAAGTGTTGGCAGAAAAAATGCCTGATGTTTGTAAAAGTGTGTGTAATGCTTTAACAAGTGTTTAGGTGCGTTTACAGGTGCCTAGCCAATGAAATGAATTCAAATTTAAGCTCTAAAAGGTGCCTAGCTTAAAATGTGCTTAGGCTCATTTAGAGGCATCAAACTTTTTTTCTGCTAAAACGTTGCTGCTCCTGGAGGCACTGGTCCTGAGTTTTTTGTTCTGCTGGTAAAAGCCCTTGTCACTAAACACTTCTAAAAGCCTATGTGTGTATGGCAGAGGCGGACTGACCATTTGGGAACTCGGGCACTGCCCGAGGGCCCAGGGTCAGTAGGGGGCCCCCTGAGGTGCCCCTGGTACCTTTCATAGGCTTTTTTGGGTGTGGTTTGAGTGTGGGCAAGGACACAGGGGCCCCATGATCCCCTATTGCTCGGGGGCCCCATGAGTTGTCAGTCCGCCCCTGGTGCATGGACACATAGGGTAAAATGGAGGGGCATTTGGAAACAGGAAAAAGAACCTTCTGCCACCCCTAAAAGTAGCTGCAAAATGTCTTGTGTGCATGAGGCCTTAGGATTGATTGCTCATTATGTCTAGGGACGAGATGAAAAGGCATCATTTACCGGGTTCCTTATTCCAACTGATGGTTGCCTCCTCTGCCCAAAGCTCTGGTCTGTGGGTGTCAGCATCATCACGTACCATATGGGAACATTAACACTGTATGGTGAGAAGGCTGGATGTGACCAAAGGCAGTAGCAGATTGGTTGCTGGAGGATTGGTCGCAGCCAGCTGGAGTAAAGTGTAAGGCACACACCTTTTATCCCTAGGCTAAATGAGCAATTAACCTTTGCAGTGCATGTGTGGGGGGAGGACAACTGCCCTGGGACACAGATGGCAAAAAAAAAACCTGAAAGGGTTATAACCCTGACTTATGATATCCAAAATTAAAGAAAAAAGTTTTGCCTATAGTTCTACTTTTAATCCACAGGGAAGAGATCCTGAGTGAAACTAAGCAACACCATGCAAGCCAGGAATTTGTTTGACCTGTTTATAGGGGAATTTAGAGCTACTGTAGTTCCTTCAAAGCTCCAATTAATTGGCATCTATGGTCTCCAAGTACTCCTGCTGCAAATTTCAGCAAAAATATTTCCTTGGGCGGAGCAAAATCAGGATAACTTGGTGGCAATTCATCTCCCAGATCCTGAGAACACTGTTGTGGATAATTTCAGCCACCATTTCTACAGCCAGAGTAAATGAGCTTTAATATTTATGGAAACTATTTTCTGTCTTGGGGACTGGGGTTGTGGACCTGATGGTAATCCATAATAATTCCTGGCTTCCCAGATTCTACCGCTGCTTCTATTGCCCTCAAGCTTTGGGTCAGTATCCCTTGGCAATACCTTGGAATGTCTGAATTTTTTCTCTCATTTTCAGGGCTCAATTGAAGAAACAGAGAGAAGGCATTTGGCAATTGCAATTTTGCTGTTCTGGCCAAGAACACCATCCATCTACTGTTCAAAGTGTTCGTTGCTTCATTGATACCAATGCCTCCAAAAGGACACCTCCTGGTTCAAGGGTATTTTGAACACCAATAATACTGAATTTCATGGTGGGAAGACACACTACTCAACTTTAGCCTATCCTCTTTAGTGTACAAGTCCCTGCTATTTTATTCTTTCATTATTATGGACATTTAAAGTATATCACACTGACAATGTATGCAGTGCTTTACATACTGTGCATTCACATTCCTGCCTTCAAGGAGATTACGATCTAAGGTCCCTAACTCACTTACATACTGTACATAGAAGCACACACATACTACAGCTAGTTTCAGCAGGAGCCAATGAACCTTTTGGCATGTATTTTGTGTGAAGCTGGAGTATTTAGCGGAAACCCAAGCGTCACAGGGAGGGCATGCAAACTCCATGCAGACAGTTTCCTGGCTGGGATTTAAACCAGTGCTGTGAAGCAGAAAAGCTTATCACTATGCTATCCATGGTCAGGCTGGTGAAATTTCTTTGAGTTTGTAGCTAGTAGTTCATTTGTTTCCCTAGAGCCATCAATCTATAACATTCTCAGCTTCTTAAAGTAAGTCCTGAATAATAAGGTACCTTTGTTACAATTTGCTGAGATTTCAAGTTTAAGCCGCATGCATACTGATCCGTATTTCTTCTGCTTTTGTGTTAAGTAAAAAAAAAAAAAAAAATGGAAGAAAAACATGTAGCCATGTAATCCTATGGAACTCTTCATAGTGATGCTTTGCAGGTTCTCTGCATTTAGTAAAATCCTGCTTGCTGCATTTTTGGTGGGGTAAAAAAAACCCACCTCCCTATTGAAATGCATGGAAAATGCATAAAAAAGCACCCACATTGTGTTCTTAATGCACTGCAAATATGGTGCATTTTTGTTAAGGATCAGTCTAAAAGTAGCCTTAGGGGCCCTGCCAGGATTTCAGTGGACCTCACATTTCTTAGTATTAGTGTTTATCAAGGTAGCATGGAGACAAAATTCTACACGGACTTCCTGTGTTCCCTATGACACCTAACTCTAAATATATTTTATTTTGATGTTTATTGGCTCAACTAGGAGGGTGCTGGTACTTCATGCCTTTCTTCTTTATAGAACTATTCTGCATGGTTTTTGAAGATAAACGTGTTCACAGACCATGCCTCCTACTACCTAAAGTCTCTTCACTTTCTGTTTTAATCTGGACAGGGGCGTATTTGCCGCGAGGCAAACTAGGCATTTGGCTAGGGCGGCACTTTTCAGGGGGGCTGCACGGCGGCAGTGCCGCCCCCCCTTTCCCACAGAAGGGACACTTCCGTGGGAAACGGACAGGGCCGCCATGGCTGAGGGACCGGCTGCAGAGGAGAGCGGAGTGGTGGGTGGATCCCCGGTGTGCGATCGGAGCACATGAGGGGCGGTGCCCGCTGTCAGTGTGCCGGTGTAGCGGCAAGATGAGTCCCCCCATGAAGATCCAGGATCTGCAGGAGCGCCAGAGGAAGGAGGAAGCAGAAGAGGACGAGGTCAGGGGGGCAGAGACGGCCCGCTCCTTTGCAGCCGCTGCCGGAAATCGTGGGGGAGAAGTTACACAGGCACAGGAATGATCCTGACACCATCTGGAGGAGCCGTTGCTGGACAGGTAAGTGCTTGGAGGACTGGTGCTCCCTTGGTCCTGTCTCACTGTCCCCTGATACCATGCCCCCCCACCTGTTCCACTTCCCTCCCCCGTCCCATTGCCCCCCATCCATCACACTGCCCCCTGCCCCCACATGTCACCCTGCCCCACACCTTTTCCACTTCCCCCTCCTGTCCCCCATATTGTCCCACTACCCCTCATCTGTTCCCACTGCCCCCTACCTGTCCCTCTGCATTCCTCCTGTCCCACTGCCCCCCACCTATCCCTCTGTGCCCCTCCTGTCCCTCTGTGCTCCTTCTCCTGTCCCACTGCCCTTCACCTGTCCCACTTCCCCTCACCTGTCCCACTGCGCTTCACCTGTCCCACTGCGCTACTCCTGTCCCACTGCCCCTCACCTGCCCCACTGCGCTACTCCTGTCCCGCTGCCCTAATGCTGTCCCATGCCCCCCTGTCATGCTGCCCCCCATCTGTCCCTCTGCCCCCCCTGTCCCACTGCCCCTCACCATCCCACTGCACCCCTCCCCCACTGTCCCCACCTGCCCCACTGCACTCCTCCTTCCCACTGTCCCCCACCTTGTCCCACTACCCCCACATCTGTCCCACTGCACCCTCCTGTCCCTCTGCATCCTTCCTCCTGTCCCACTGCCCCCCACCTGTCCCACTGTGCCCTCCTGTCCCTCTGCTCCTTCACCTGTCCCACTGCCCCTCACCTGTCCCACTGCCCCTCACCTGTCCCACTGCCCCTTACCTCTCCCACTGTGCTACTTCTGTCCCACTGCCCCTCACCTGTCCCCACTGCGCTCCTCCTGTCCCACTGCCCCTCACCTGTCCCACTGCGCTCCTCCTATCCCACTGCCCCCCATCTGTCCCACTGCGCTCCTCCTGTCCCACTGCCCCTCACCTGTCCCACTGCGCTCCTCTTCTGTCCCACTGCCCCTCACCTGTCCCACTGCACTCCTCCTGTCCCACTGCCCTACTCCTGTCCCACTGCCCCTCACCTGTCCCACTGCGCTACTCCTGTGCCGCTGCCCTGATGCTGTCCCACTGCCCCCCCTCTGTGCTCCTTCTCTGTCCCTCTGCCCCTCCTGTCCCACTGCGCCCTCACCTGTCCCACTGCCCGCCTCCTGTCCCACTGCCCCTCACCTGTCCTACTGCCCTCCTCCTCTCCTACTGCCTCCTCCTGTCCCTCTGTGCTCCTTCTCCTGTCCCACTGCCCCTCACCTGTCCCACTGCGCTCCTCCTGTCAACTGACACCCCTGACCTGTCACTTTTGCGCTCCTCACTGACCCACTGCCCGCTATTGTCCCACTGACACCAATGATGGGACAGCCCCTACCTTCCTCCCACTGCATTACTTCGGTCCCACTGCCCCCACTGATACCACTGTGGGACACTTCCTGTCCCACTGCACTAAAGATGGTCCCACTACTGCCCCCACCTGTCCCAATGCGGGGCACTACTCCTGTGCCGCTGACCTGATGCTGTCCCATGCCTCCCCTGATCAATGCTGGGGCCCATCTGTCCCTCTGCGCTCCTCCTGTCCCACTGCCCCTCACCTGACCCAATGATGCCCGCCTCCTGTCCCACTGACCCTCACCTGTCCACTGCCCTCCCCTGACACCTATCCTTCTGCGCTTCCTCCTGTCCCAATGTGCTCCTTCTCCTGTCCCACTGACACCTCACCTGTCCACACTGCGCTCCCCTGTCACTGACACCAATGAGGGGGCACTTTTCCTCCCACTGACACCAATGATGGGGCGCTATTCTACTGACACCAATGATGGGACACTATTCCTCCCACTGACATTAATTGGGGCACTATTCCTCCCACTGACACTAATGATGGGGCACGTCCTCCACTGATACCAATGATGGGGCACTATTCCTCCCACTGACACCAATGATGGGGCACTATTCCTCCCACTGACACCAATGATGGGGCACAATTCCTCCCACTGACACCAATGATGGGGCACGATTCCTCCCCTTGACACCATTGCTGGGGCACGATTCCTCCCCTTGACACCATTGCTGGGGCACGATTCCTCCCACTGACACCAATGATGGGGCACGATTCCTCCCACTGATACCAATGATGGGGCACTATTCCTCCCCTTGACACCAATGATGGGGCACGATTCCTCCCACTGACACCAATGATGGGGCACGATTCCTCCCACTGACACCAATGATGGGGCACGATTCCTCCCTTTGACACCAATGATGGGGCACGATTCCTCCCACTGACACCAATGATGGGGCACGATTCCTCCCACTGACACCAATGATGGGGCACTATTCCTCACACACTGACACTAATGATGGGGCACCATCATTGGTATCAGTGGCAGGAATAGTGCCCCATCATTGGTGTCAGTGGGAGGAATCGTGCCCCATCATTGGTGTCAGTGTGAGGAATAGTGCCCCATCATTGGTGTCCGTGGGATGAATAGTGCCCCATCATTGGTGTCAGTAGGAGGAATAGCGCCCCATTGGTGTCAGTGGGTGGAGCTCTAATAGGAAGAGGTGGAGCCTAAAGAGGAAGGGGTGAAGTTTGCAGATGAAATGGTGGGACAAATTTAGATGTGGGGGGGTACCCAATTTTAGTCTTGCCTAGAGCAGCACAAAACCAAAATACACTACTGAATCTGGACCAAAGTTTCTGTCTCTTACTGGCTCTCATTGCTGAAAATAAGTATCTTTAGGGCAAAAACAACTGTAATTTCTTTTAGCCAAGTAATATTGTCACTAGTTATATGAAAAAAAATTGTTAAAACCAAGATTAACACTGGATAGAGGCAAAAAGTTTTGGAATACAGCAATGTTTCACCAATAAATTAGACACCAAAAGCACAATTCAAAATGTATTATATTTTGGCATCTTTCAACACAATTCAATTTCCTCTGTGGAGTCCCCAAGGCACCCCCCCAAGTCAAGGGAATGTGGCCTAGTATGGTTTGGGGGAAGGGAGCCATTCACCCCGCCCCCCTTTTCCTTTCCAGGCCAGGCTGCATGCTCAGTGTGTTGGTTTGGTATGGATTTGTTGGAAGACCTTATATAATTTTTAGAGTTTTTTTGCATGGAGTCTCCCTCTCTGTACCAGACCTGCATGGATTTCCTGGGGGACCTCACGCAATTTGTTTGTGTGAGGTACCCCCTTAATATCCTTACCAGACTCAAAGAATCTGGTATGCATTTTTTGGGGGGACTCTATGCAATTTTTGTTCCATGCTTACTGTAATGACATGCAAAAATGACATTTACAGAGAAAAAAACAAACAAAAAAATGAAACTGTTTAAATTGTCAGAAAATTAAAGGCCAAAAAAGAAAACACAAAAAAACACACGCAAAATACATGGAAGACTCCTAGGATCGGGGGGAGACTGAGGAGGAGGTCTGTGGGGTTTTAAAAAAAAAAAAAAAAAAATTGGCAATGACAGCTGTCAAAGTTTTTAAACGTTACTTCCTTTGTAAACGTCAGTGCTAAAAAAAATTAAATCACTGCTCCTGGCTACCTGGAATTGGGAGGAGGGACAAATGAACTCGGGTATGGTTCATTTCAGCTGTGCCCAGTGTGAATGGACCTGAATTCACCAAAATTCACACTAAATATATAGTAACACCGCAGAGTATATATACATACCTTAAATATGTGCTGCACACCTTAACAAAAGATATTCAAATGTCAAAGAAAAAATACTGATCAAAATGTATCAAATGAACACATATTTAAACTTCATCAGCATCAGTCAAGGCTTAGAGATACATTGGTACATGCAAGGAGACTTTGTGTGAGACACTGGAGATAAGGAGAGTGGTTGAGGTTTGATACTACCTTACTGAAGTTCTGTATACAAATGTAGTTATTCTCTAGTGTTGGATGCATTTATATCATGGTTTTTATAATTATTATTATACAGGATGTACAGTATATAGCGCCAACATTTTGCACAGCGCTTTACAAAATGAACGTAGACATTACAGTTACAATACAATTTGATACAGGAAACAGAGGGCCCTGCTTGTTACAGCTTACAATCCTGCTGAACTATGAGAAGCCTCTTTTTTATTCCCTGAGCATTGCACACTTACTGTACATGCTGATTCAAGAACATGCATACTTGCAGTGGGGCAACCATCTATATTGAGTACAAGACCATAGAGCAGGGGTCCTCCAACTACAGCCCATGGGCCAGATGCAGCCCGCCAAAGACATTAATCCAGCCCGCCGGGCCAGCCAAAAAAACAAGAAAAAAACAGAAAAAAAAAACAGCGCTGGCCGGAAAATAACTAAGCGAGTGGCAGCCTGGAAGCCTCAGATTTCACCTCCTGCAGCCAGAGGAGCAAAATGAGAGGAGGAGAGCACACCAGGCACCAGGTACAGTGCATTGCAGTGTCCAGTGTATCAGTTTACAGTGCATTGCGGTGTCCAGTGTATCAGAGTACAGTGCATTGCGGTGTCCAGTGCGTTAGTGTACAGTGCACTGCGGTGTCAGTGCCTTACAGAGTAAAGTGCATTGCAGTGTACAGTGCGTTAGCGTGTACAGTGCATTGCGGTGTCCACTGCGTTACAGTGTACAGTGCATTGTGATCTTAAGACCGTTACAGTGTACTGCAGTGTCCAGTGCGTTACAGTGTACAGTGCATTGCGGTGTCCAGTGCATTACAGAGTACAGTGCATTGCGGTGTCCACTGTGTTAGTGTACAGTGCACTGTGGTGTCCACTGCGTTACAGTGTATTGCGGTGTCCAGTGCGTTAGTGTACAGTGCACTGTGGTGTCCACTGCATTAGTGTACAGTGCACTGTGGTGTCCACTTCATTAGTGTACAGTGCACTGCAGTGTCCAGTGCATTACAAAGTACAGTACATTGTGGTGTCCAGTGCGTTACATTGTACTGCATTGTCCAGTGTGTTACAGTGCACAGTGCATTGCAGTGTCCAGTGTGTTACAGTGTAAAGTGCATTTTGTTGTCCAGTGCATTGCGACGTCCAGTGTGATACAGAGTACAGTGCATTGCGGTGTCCAGTGTGTTACAGAGCCCAGTGCATTGCGGTGTTCAGTGCATTAGAGAGTACAGTGCATTGTGGTGTCCAGTGTGTTACAAAGCACAGTGCATTGTGGTGTCCAGTGCGTTAGTGTACAGTGCATTGCGGTGTCAAGTGCCTTACAGAATACAGTGCATTGCGGTGTCCAGTGCATTACAGTGTATAGTGCATTGCAGTGTCCACTGCATTACAGTGTACAGTGCATTGCGATCTCAAGGGCGTTACAGTGTACTGTGGTATTATTATTATTATACAGGATTTATATAGTGCCAACAGTTTGCTCAGCGCTTTACAATATAAGGGAGACAGTACAATTACAATACATTTCAGTACAGACGGAATAGGAGGGCCTGGCTCGTGGAGCTTACAATCTAAAGGAAGGTGGAGGTGGTACAAAAGGTGATCGTTGCAGGGGATGATCTGATGGAGAGGAGTCAAGTACAGTTCTTAGGTGGAGGTGGGGTAGACTTCTCTGAAAAAGTGAGTTTCTAAAGATCGCCTAGGCAGACAGGGTGGGGGCTGACCGGACATGCTGTGTTAGGGAGTTCAAGAGGATGGGAGAGGCTCTGGAGAAGTCCTGGAGGCAAGCGTGGGAGGAGGTGATGAGGGAGCTAGAGAGGAAGATATCTTGGGAGGAGCAGAGTGGGCGATATCTGTGGATAAGGTTGGTATCCAGTGTGTTACAGAGTACAGTGCATTGCGGTGTCAAGTGCATTACAGAGTACAGTGCATTGTGGTTTCCAGTGCGTTACCGTGTACAGTGCACTGCAGTGTCCAGTGCGTTACAGTGTACAGTGCATTGCAGTGTCCAGTGTGTTACAGAGTACAGTGCATTGTGGTGTCCACTGTGTTACAGTGTACAGTCCATTGTGGTGTCCACTGCATTGCGGTGTCCAGTGCATTACAGTGTCCAGTGCATTACAATGTATAGTGCATTGTGGTTTCCAGTGTGTTACAAAGAATAGTGCATTGTGGTGTCCAGTGCACTACAGTGTACAATGCATTGTGGTGTCCAGTGCGTTACCATGTACAGTGCATTGCGGTGTCCAGTGCTTTACAGTGTACAGTGCATTGCGGTATCCAGTGTGTTACAGAGTATAGTGCATTGCGATGTCCAGTGTATCAGAGTACAATGCATTGCGGTGTCCAGTGTGTTAGTGTACAGTCCATTGCGGTGTCCACTGCGTTAGTGTACAGTACATTGTGGTGTCAAGTGTCTTACAGAGTGCAGTGCATTGCGATCTCAAGTGCATTACAGTGTACTGCGCTATCCAGTGCTTTACAGAGTACAGTGCATTGCGATGTCCAGTGCATTTCAGTGTGCAGTGCATTGCGCTGTTCAGTGTGTTACAGTGTACAGTGCATTGTGGTATACAGTGCATTGTGGTGTCCACTGCGTTACAGTGTACAGTGCATTGTGGTGTCCACTGTATTGCGATGTCCAGTGCATTGCGGAGTCCAGTGCGATACAGTGTACAGTACATTGCAGTGTCCACTGCGTTACACTGTACAGTGCATTGCGGTGTCCAGTGCATTACAGTGTACAGTGCATTGTGGTGTCCGGTGCGTTGCAAAGTACAGTGCATTGCAGTTTCCAGTGCATTACAGAGTACAGTGCATTGTGGTGTCCACTGCATTGCGGTGTCCAGTGCATTACAGTTTACAGGGCATTACAATGTACAGTGCATTGAGGTGTACAGTGCGTTACAGAGTACAGTGCATTGTGGTTTCCAGTGCGTTACAGAGTACAGTGCATTGTGGTGTCCAGTGCGTTACAGAGTACAGTGCGGTATTGAGTACAGTCATTGCGGTGTCCAGTGCGTTACAGAGTACAGTGCATTGCGGTGTACAGTGCGTTACAGAGTACAGTGTACAGTGTCCAGTGTGTTACAGAGTACAGTGTATAGTGTCCAGTGCGTTA